TTAATATACAAAAACATGCTGAACGACGCAGGACTGGTAAATAAAATATGTTCATGCATTTTACAACACAATCCACAATATTAATGGACAATATAATTAACTCAATTTTCTGTATACAAAGAAAAACTTTATTATTCCTATTATACTTAATTCTGAGTCAAAATCTTTAACTTTTCTATTATAAAATATCTTAAATTTTTATCTACAAAATTATTTTATTTTAATATTAATTGTTTGTAAAAAAATTTTCTTTAAAAAATTTTCAAAATAATTCACATTTAAATGTTACACTTAATATTTATATACAATATATAAGTACGAGTATAATACTGTTATATGAATATAAAAAGTTCAAAGTTTCTAACCTTAAAACTTAATTAATAAAAATAAAGAATGATTTTATATATGGAAAGAAAGCAAATAAAATAAAAAACAGAAGCAAAATATATACAATAGTTTCAAGCAATAAATTAACTAAAATTTATATGCAATATAGTTAAGTTTATTAAAATATAAAAGGATTCTTCTTTGTCTTCTATTAACCTTATACTGTGTCTATTCAAAATATGTATGTGATGAGCTGCATATCACCCAAAAATAAAACAAAACTATATATATAGTAAAGGAATATGCAATAAAATGCAATATTAAAATTTTGCAACAATCAACAATAGTTTTGGGAACATGTCAAAATAGTTTTGGGAAATAAAAATTTACACAATATATATCGGTATTATATATATATATATGAATATTTATAAATATATACATTATAAAAATATTTTCATATAGAATTGTAAATATTCTGTACTATTAAAATTGGAATAATACAGAGTGATTTATAGGAAAACATCTTCTCATGCCTTAAAACTGAATTTTCCCTTTTCATTATTAAAAATTCACAAATATTGAATAACACTCCAATACCAATTCTAAATGAGGCCCTATAGTGTACCAGACGAATTATTTTGTCCAAATCGAATTCAAAAAATTGAGCAAATCTTGTTGTAAGTTAAGTTTAATACTAATTACTAATTAGTACTTTAAATACTAGTTAGTAACAATGCAGCAGCGTGGGGAAGCTGTTCTCTTGCTACATTCAATTTCCTTAAAAATTCTACAAATATTTACTGTAAATTAATAACATAATAAAAAATTAAAAAAAAATTTCAAATAACCACTTCTAATAGAAAATAGAAAATTTTCCAATTGGCGCCCGATCAGGGGACAGCAAATTTTTTAATTAAAACTATTTTCCCTCCTGCTTTATTTAAAAAAATGATTTATTTTACCATCAAGCATACTGCCTTCAAATATTATTTTCCAATTTCTGAAAGTAGAAATTTTTATGAACGGAATGCTGAAGAACAAAACTGCAAAACGTAATACATATTGCCAAAAGATTACAAAAGATTACATGCAATATATTTTTAATTGTTCTATAATATCAAAACAATTCATATGATTTGATAGCGCTACTCATGTACTAAATTTGCTATATTGCGGCAAAAATTACTCACGTTTGTGATGTGCGGCAAAAATTTTGGAAACATTTGTTTACGGACATGAATATAGTTCAGTTACTTACTTTATATCGGAATATGTTATACATATTAGAAACGCAGTATGTTTATGAAATGACCGAGTAAATATTATAAAATTTTTAAAATTCTAAAAAGAAAATTTTCGACAATGTTTAATAATACATACAAAGTAATCCGCCCAAAAAACTAAATAAAATTAAAATATTTTATATTTCATCTGAATGCAATTTTCAATTTAAAAGTACATCCTGTATACCTAATGAAATATATGTATGTATAATGTAGAAATATATGTAATGTATGATATGTAAATTTGTGTATATGTATATATAATATGTATCAAATTTTGTATCAAATTGGAATAACGATATACTACAATATTTATATATACAAGAATTAAAATAACAAAAATATTATAATAGATATGAAAAGCTTATGGATGAATTTATTAGCACCTTGGGTGCAATGATGCTATGCGAAAAATTGAAAGATTTTTATCATAAATTTTCTATGCATACTAAGAGTTTTTAAATAGTATATATGTTTATATAGAATATATAAAAACTGTTATACAAAATAGAACAAACAAAAAAAAAAAGAATATAAAAGGTTTTTTTTTTTTTTTTGTATTTTAAATGAATGAAAATATTTTCAATGTATATTATATGCAAATTCAATCTATATATACCACTTTTATCTTAAAGTATCTAGTATATAAGGTTTTCTGTACATTCATTTGTATATAACAAATATGTATAAGAATATACAAAGCATATATAAACAAATAGAGCCAAAAATATAAAATGACATGATGAAATGTTGTTGAGGGATACAAGAATATTCAAATACAAAATATATTCGAAAAAAAAAATTTTTTTTTCTTTCATCCTTTATTTTTCCCATACCTACAATATACTTATAACAGTTTTCATTTTTTTCTTCTTTTTTTTTTTGTGAAATTTTCACCCTCGTTTTTTTTCTTAATCCTTATACTTAGATTTTCATCTATGCTTATTATTTTCTAAACTGTAAAATGCAAATTTTTTAAAATATCAGCAATTTATAGTAATTTTTGTTTTTTATTTTTCTTTTTCTTCTGCTCTCTATTGCTACTGCTCTTTTTTCCTTATTTTCATCTTCTTATAATTTTTATTGTAGAATAAAATTTTTTTTTTTTTGTACATCTATGTATGGGATTCGTTTTTTAATTTTCTGCTGATTCTTGTATTTTGTATAAAAGAGTTGTAGTTGATTTTTTAAAGTATAATATCTAAGTATAATATGCAAACACAAATAACACACATTATAAACAGTATAAACTTTTGTTTACACTCTTTTATTTAATGAGTTAAAGCTTAGATCAGAATGGGTTAAAAAAACTTTGAAATTATTATATTATTATCAAATAATAACAAATCATAATTGATATAAAAATAATTATGAAAAGATCTTTGAATTCTCTATGATATCGTTGAATTCTGAATATTTGTGAAAATTCAGTCCTTAATGTTAAAACTGCAAAATTTTAAAAGCTCGAAATTTAATTTGTACATGACAATTGGTGCAGTGGTTATGGCACCGTACCTTTAACCGAAAAGTCTCGGGTTCAAACCCCGGTCAGGTCATTATAAAAAATTATATTCAATATTATACAACTTAATATAATAATACTAATAAATATTGTACTAAGTATTTTTCAAATATTCATAATATTCGATATTAAAAACAAAGAAAAATTAACAGTAAATATTAATAAACTTAAATATTTAATATAAATAAAAAAAAAAACTACGGCAGGCTAGTCACCTACCTAGTTAACTGTATGACGCTATGAAACTAGGGCATGATATCATGCACTAGCCTTATGCTCCTCCTACGATTGAAGAAGGAAAGAAAAATTTAATTTGTACACAAAGCTTTGAAAATTTTGTAATTTCTAACCCCTTAAAAATAGCATTTTCAAAAATACCTTATATGTATATAAAACCTAATTTCATTTGATTTTTACAAATTTTTGTACGATTTAATTAAAATTTACCAAATTTAAATGATTTTCAATTGAATTTTTAATTAGACAAATAGGATTCACTGTAAATAATTGCAAGATTATTAAGATGTTTCAATCAAATTAACCAAATTTTTAAGACTTTCAATTGAATTTCGAGGCAAAATCCATTTCATAACAGAAAATATTTGGTATACCCGAGATTTTCGGTATGAAAAGAGTCACTACTGTTCTAATGTATAAAAATGTTTTAAAAATTTTTTATAAAACAATTGTTTAGCTTGTAATTTCTAAGACAAAGGAATATTCTGATAATTTTATCAAAAATTATTTGTTGTAAATTACAGATTAGTACAAAAAATCCCCGATTATTATAAACACTTTAAAATTACTTCGATTTTCAAATGTATTTTTGCTACATTTTTATATTTAAAATTTAATATTAAACTTAAAATTCAAATTATATAATTTAATTTTTTATTATTTATTTAATAATTTCTTATTACAAAATGACATTATAATTATTGTGCAATATACAAAAACACGGATTTTGAATTTTTAGGGCGCCACTAGACATAAATTTATTATATAACAAGATTGTAATCAATTTTACATTTTAAAACAAAAGAAAATTATTATTTTAACAATATTTTTTATTTTTTTAAATATTTTAACAAAACACATGATTTTCTATTGTATTATATTTATTCAACAATTTCTACCATAATATATACCATATTCATTTATTTGTAACCATTATTTTGTTACCATATTCGATTTATATAAAAAAAAAAGAAAGAAATGCGTTTACACGTACAACACGTTCAATTTTCAACACTAGTAAATACAATAGAGCAATCAAATTATACCCATCATATTATTATTATTATAAATTACAACAAAATCAATTAAAATTTTTTGTTGATCAACATCAATGTGAACAAATTAATATTATATTTATGTACATACATACTTATAATATATAATATAATTATCTATTTACATATTCACGCATTTGTAATAATTTTTTTAATGAAAATTTTTTTTTTCAATACTGCACAATTATTTACATTTAATTTAATTTTTTGTTTTTTACTATTATTATATACATATATACATTGTACATAAATGCGTTTTAAATAAAAATATATTTTATATTTGAGTAAATATAATTGAGTCAAAAAATATTAAAAATTAAAAAAAAAAAAATTCATTGAATCGAAATTTTATTAAATTTATTGCAATGTCCTATAATTTTTTTTCCTGAAAATGATAATTATATGATAAACTAGCATTCGGCTTTTTTTTTCCGAAAACTCGACATACAAAATTTGGTGAAATCAGATAAACTCCCTTTATTTTATATAATGCGGTCAGAAAAAATCTTACTTATGGTTTGTACCTCAAAACCTAAAACCCAAAATATTTTTTATGCTTAATGGTACTTTCAGTCATTTAGAAAGCAACAACCACACCAAAGCAGCTAAAATTATTAATCAGGGACGGTGAAATGTGTAGGTTCTTCTGATACCGCAGATACTAAATTAAAAATTATTTCTAAGTAGTAAAAATTTCTTAAAAATTATAAATTATTGAAGAAAATACAGGTAAATTGAACAACATTAAAAAAAGAAACTAAAACAAAATTTAATAAATTTCACAAGGATCTATAATTCTTCAAGCATTATATTGTTTAATAATTAAGCTACCACAGTTAGGAGAATTAAAAATGTGATAGGTTGCGCGAAATTTTCTAAAATGTTTTACATGCTGTTATAGTTTTTAAAAAAGCTCCTATAATTACAATTCTACATTATTAAAATCATTGCTTTACAGTATAAGCAAAGTTCTTATTAAACAAAGGCACTGCAATTTAGTACTATGCTAGAAGATAACCTACTTTTTTCCAACTAGTTGAGGCGAATGTAAATTTTTCGCATTATAAATCTATACATAAATTTAGTTTCTAAAAGTGTAAGTAAAAAATTTTAACGAAACATTATTTTCTTGATAGTCCACCTCTATTATTTAATATCCAATATGGTAGTGATTTTCTTGAAGCAGCTCTCTACTAATTTAACACAAACACGGTAGTTTTTACGTATTTTATTAATTCTTTAACAATTTTCATACTTTAACAATATTCCAATTGAAAATTTAAATTTAAAATTTAATATACATTTTATACCTTTAAATTTAATTCACAATCAATACAATAAATCACAAAAAAATTAAAATCAAAATCCCTTCAGTTACCAAACCAATTTTACCCAAAACAAAAAAAAAAAAAAACCTAAATTAATTAATTTATGTTTAACCACAATCACATAATAAAAAAAGTTCTTTACTCAACAGCTATATTATCATTATATACATATGTATGTATATACATATTATGTATATGTAAAATCCAAATCAAATTAACGACAACAAAATTTGTTTATCAGTCAGCGACCAATATACAAATAATATGTTGAAAATTACCGACAATGTGGTAAGTAAATTCTACTGAAATTTACCTTCCTATACCATATATCTAAGATTAATTTTTTTACCAAAAAAAAAACTACAAGATCAAACAACAGAAGAAATAGGAAAAAAAAACCCCAGATACTGGAATACTGGAGGAATAAACTCATATAAAATGGTTTGAAAATGACCTCAGAGAAAGAAAGAACAAGTAGCAAAAAAAAAAAGCAATAATGAGAAATAAAGCAATTTAAAAACAATATTGAAAAAAATTATTTTATTTTTATTTTTGTACTTTTTTTTTTCTTTTGCATCCTTACACCATATATGCTTATTTAGGAGCAAGGAAAAATAAAGATTTCAATGGAATATATTTTGGTTGAGAAAATAAACTTTTATTTTTCTTTTTATTAATTTTCGTTTTTGTCACATAATAAAAAAAAAGTTTTTATTATTCTTTTTTTTTTTTTTGAGAATATTGTTCGTTTCTTAACACTTGGTATATCCTTTAAATAAGATTTAGAGATATTTTTTAATAAATTTAAATTTGTTAAATAATTTAGAAATGTTCTAGTAGTGAAGTGTATACTCAAGTGCCATATAATTTTGAAAACAAAATATTTAAATATGGTCAACCATTGGCTAGATAATTCAATATCAACTCGTAATAACTCGAGACATCAAAATATATTGCCGAGATTTATTGGAAAAATTAATAATCATTTAAATCTGAAATCATATTTTAATTCAATATTGAGTTTATGAATATCTCTACCATGAACTACAATAAGTCTACCATATAATGACTTTCTTCAAGCCGACCTGATTGACTTTTATACTATTTATATTACATACGTCTTTAGTACAACTTAGTTATACTTAACTCAATCATAATCAGGCAGCCAACTAATAGCTACTCAATCATAATCAATACTAATAGCTACTCAGCAACCTTAATTTACAATTTGCCCACATTGCCGAACTACTTCCAATTTTTAACTACAATGATTTCAAGAATTCTCTAACAAAATCTTAACACAAGTATTGGTTTAGCATTCAAAATAACAAAAAGAAATTTAGTGTTTCACTAAAATTAATAATAATTATTATTATTCTTTTTATTTACTCAAGCGTATTCGTAGGAGTATTCAACCTTTATAGAATTTGCAATGCAAAACTTTCGAAGAATATTATTGTAGATTCCGGTGTCAATTTCTTTCTTTTCCTTTAAACTTTCTTAATCTTTAATATATTCTTAATCTTAAATATTGTATATTCTTATACAATAAAAAAAGATACTCTTTACAGGTCACTTAACAAATACTTTTAGAAATGAAAAAATCTCGTACACATATTAAATATTGACTCCGATTAAAATAAGAAAACTTTTTGGATAAAAAAAAAAAAAGCAAGGAAAGTCCAAAGAAACTTGCAAAGATTTCATTTTGAAAAATCTTTTTTGCCCCAAAGGCAAACAAAATGACACAAAAGGAAAATTGTTTTGAGTTTTTTTTTTCTCTCTCTCTTGCTATATGAGAACGTGTATTATGTGTGTATGTTCGGATATGTGTGAAATTTTTTTCTTCTTCCCTTAATTTTTTTTTTCTTTTAAAAGTCCTTCCCATATCATTCTATTAAATTTACTTTTTTATTATTTTCTTCATCAATAATTCCATTAAGTTCAATAAAGACGTAGCCCTTAAGAGGATTAACGTATTGATGGAGAAAAAAAAAAGAACACAAAATAGCCGTGTAAATGATATACATACATAATAAGACAAGAAATAAAAACTCAACCAATCAAACATTTAAAAAAAAAGCAATAAAGCATGAATGAATTCATGAAAGAAGTTCACATAGGTTTACCACAATTCCTCGTAATTGTAAGATGATTCATATACACATATGTATATTGGAATTTGAAATATCTAAATACAGATGGTCTATAGGGAAGTTTAAATAAGTTTTTAATCTTTGTTCTTTACTATCTTTTTCATAATAAAAAGAGTTGTTAAACTTATTCTCAACTTGATATATTCTTAACCTGACATATTCTTAACCTGACATATTCTTAACCTGACATATTCTTAACCTGACATATTCTTAACTGGCATGAATTATTAAGCTAGAATAATTATTATAAATCAAATTAGTACAATATAGCTTAACAAGTGAAATAAAAATTCTTAACAAACGTTCACCTTGAAGTGAAACTCTTACAATTTTATATATTTAACAATGTCGACGAGCTTTGAACTATTACAAATTAAAATTACCAGAAAAACCTATAAATTTTACTGAATCATCTTAAATATTAAGTTATTACTTTTAAAGTTACCTAGATTATAAATACAATAAAGTATTCGTCATAATTTCTACATCAACCGCCCTTACACAATACTATAGTGTTTATTTACATAGTGTAATACATTGATCTAGAATCATGTATATTCTGATTTTTAATCTGTTGGGAAAAAATTAATATGAAAAAAAGGGAACTCTCAGAAGGAGAGAACCAAAAAAAAAGTTTCTAGTAAAAAAATAGATTAAATTCAATTTATTTCAAGTAATTTTTCATTATCACAATGATTATTGTATTGACCAATATCTGTAGATAACATTTAAGATTTAATTTTCAGTAAATTTCACATTGATTAGTCGTGTTTTTTAAATCATTTGATTATTTTTACACTTAGATGCACAAGTAAATAGACTGATTTCAAATAATGTGATTTTAATTAAAAATTGTCTTATTAGGTCTGGTGTTAATTGGATTGTAGAATTAAAAATAGGTGGTAATGTAAAAAAAGCTTACATAATAATAATAAAATTACATATTATGTATTATAAAAGGAGTTGAACTTGTTGGATTTAATATAGGTTTAAAAAGGTCTTAATTTGGTTTTTTTTAATTATAATAAATTGCTAATTTTTCAACAAATTCAACTCGCAAGAAATTTAGAATAATTCGTAATTATATTTTACAAAACTATAAAATATGCTTTTCCATGTAGGAAATTTTTCTTAATTTTCAAGCTACAGAAATAATTAGAACAACAAAAACTTAGTCTAACATAAAATAATTTCTATATCATAATGACTACATTATATTTTTATGGATTTCCTTAATCTTAATTGAATACTTATTTTAATTTTTTAAAAGATTAAGTTTTTAATAAACAGTACTATTGATCTGTAAATAATTAATTGAAAAGCGCAAACAGCATATTACATATTTTACATAATTTACATCAACTTTTTCTTATAACTAAAATTACTTAATAATAGTCACGTAAATTTTTTTTTTTCATAATATTCAACAACGTGAAATTGTATAAAATTCATTAATAAATCACTATAACTGCCTACAATACTATATACTAGGAAAAAAGAGAGCCAAAATAAAAATGAATTCTTAATAATATTACATAAAATTGTAACATAACCACGCATATAAATGCTTGAATTATAATTTTTGTTTTACTTTTAATGGTTTCCTATATACATTTTTTGAACTAAAATTGAAGTGAAAGTAAATAAACATAATATAATTTAAATTTATATCAAAAATTTAAAAAAAAAAAATGATAAGTACAAGTATTTTTATTAGTAATACAGTAGTACTTTCCTGACTCATTAACAATAGTTTTGTTGAAAAAATAAAAAAGAATAATAAATAAAAAAGAATGCTGCATAGGTACCTAATAAGCAGTCATTCTGGACACTTGGAAGTGTTCTTTTACGTTATCATACAAAATGCAAACGGATGAATCAAAATTACAAAAATATCGTGTATTCTAAATAATAAATTTTTGTACAAAATGCACTTAAAATTGCTTAACACATTACATCATCTTTCTTGGAAAATTTTTAATAATCTACATACATACAACATGTTCATCCAAAATATTTTTCTTTTATTCAATTAAATTTTTTATTAAGCTGAGTCAATTTGATATATACAAGAAAGATTGAAAATAATTGAAGTATGTCTAATGAATGCCAGACCAGACTCTATATACATATTGTACATATAATGTAATATAAAATAATCATAAAAAATTTTTATTTAACTATTATATTTTATACCTTATATGCATAAGCAGACATTCATGTATTTTCGTATATGTAAATGGGCACATTGTTTAAGTGCACCCTCAATTAAAATATTATCGCATTGAATTTTTTGAAGACTATGTTTTTTATTTTTTCTTTTAATATAATTTTATTAAATGCAAGTGATTGGAAAGCACGTTGCACTGCACGTTGTCATCGTTTTTATAAAAAAAAATGTTTTTCTTTTTTTGGTTTTAATGGATGTCTTTATCAAAATCGTGCAAAATAAACAAAATAAAAAAGAATATGAATGAAAAATAAAAATACATATACTAGCTAACGAATACCAACCAATCAATTTCAATTGTAATTTTTAATTAAAATTCGACCAAAAAAAAAAATGAAATGTGTAGTACAACTAAAATCGAAGATATGCAAAAATAAATAAAAAAAAAATTCTTCATTTGTATGCAGTTTTGTTTGGTTTTGTTTTCTTGTTTTCCAATGATTTTTAGCATTATATTTCCGAAAAAAATATTTCGAATGAAATTTAAAAATTAAGTCACTTACAATGTAAATCAAATCATGTTTGCAATATTATTATTTTTGGCCAATAAATCGAATTTTAAAAATTCCTTAAATTCATCAAAGTTTTCATATAAAACGCAATGTTTAGTTTAACTAACTTAAGACCAAAAATTTAACAATTAAAATAAAATTTAAAAATTCTAACAAAATTTAAACTAAGTAACCTAATCGTGTATCTAGCTCTTCCGTCTAATTTTCTATTTACTTTCCAAATCACAATTCGTATTTTTTTTTCCAAAAGTGCCTGTGATTGCAAGAATTGGGAGGATAAATATTTTGATATTACTACATTATTTGAAATATTTACAAAATAGTTTTGTAAGTTCCAGTACATTCTCTCAGAACTGTCTTGAATCATTTTTCAATTTTTTTCCACATCATTAGAACGAGTTCTACGAAACATTCAGTTTTTCCATATATGCTTTCTTCACTTTTTATATATTTGAAAAGAACTTTTAATTGCTTGTTTAAAATTAAAAGAAAACTTGTACATGATTCACTGAGAAAGTTTTCTGAAAAAAGGAAGCTGGCCTGTTCTAGTTAATTCCATTGATAATTTTTCACAAGTAAACGTTGTGACATATTTTTTATTCCATCATATTTTGTAAAGAGCATCATATGTAGCTGATAAACAATTAATATGATGCAAAGCATAGCTTTTTATAAAAATATCTACAAAATATTTCCATTTCTTTTTCCATAAATTGTCATGCATATTATTCTTTCATCATATCTGGATCATGTTACAAATACAGCATGAAATTCTCAAGTATAACAGAAACATATTTTTACTACTTTTTAAAATATCCCCTTCCAGTATCTTCAATACTTTTTTGGATGGTGAAAGCTGTATTTTATCTTCCTTTTTATATCATAAATAATCCAATATAGCCTACAAATAAAACAGAATATTTTGTTTTAAAGCTAATTATTATTATTTTAACTTGATTACTAGATTTATACTTACAACATAAGCATAATTTTTCACTATTTCCTTTTTTCTCATTTCTTAAGGACTGGTTTCAAACATTTTATTCACTTCATAAAGTTGATTTTTAAAAAACAATGGATTGCAATATTGTTGTGGATAAAATTTTGAAAATTTTACTAATTCAATAAAATATAAAGGAAAAATGTGCTCTTAGGGATTTCTAAACTAAATTATTCCCTCGGTTACAGGTACTTACACGTTTTTTTTTCTTTATATTATTGCTACACAAAATTATTTGATTTATTCAAACAATAAAATAAATAAAAGAAAACTAAAATAAAATTCAAAAATTAAATTAAAAATGTAAGTACATAGCGAAAGTAGTTCCGAATCGAAAATTTTTATTGCTATTTTTTACTTTTTCACTTTTATTTCTTACATTTTTTGCCATTTCTTATTTTTTTGTTTTTCATATGAAAACAAAGTATGTACGTGCCATATGCGATCATAAAAACATGCTGGAACACATACACTTTTAAAAATCTACAAATTCAAATTGAATATATATTGTGCTAGCACATATTTTTAATAAACCCATGGTATTCCATTACCGTATGGTATAACGGTATATATGCAATTGGTATCTATACTTCATCTGCAATATCATATTATATGCAAAAATGCTTTAATCAAACTATATGCATAATATAAGATCGAAGTATTTTCGTTGCTTTACTAAAATTACACTGAAAAAAAAAAATAAAAGAGATAAACGAAAAAGTAAAAATAGTAAAATAATAAAAAGGAATGAAGAAGGGCAGAGAAAAAGGTGGTAGGTTTTTAAGTGGTAGGTGGACATGAGTATAAAAATCAATGCAATCAATTGTTCAAGTATCAATCGTATTTCAAGTGCAATCGAAAATTAAATTGAAAAATTCGATTTCAAATTTTTTTTTGTTATTCGCAAAGTTAACATTTAAAAAAAAGAAACGGAATAATCAAAAATAATCGTGCAAAAACCTAAAAAAAAAAGTAAATAAAATAAATTCAAAATGAAAAAACTCTTGGTAAGTAAAAAAAAAAATAACAATATCATATTAAAAGGAATGTAAAATAAAAAACAAAAAGGAATTAAACAATAAAAGGATATCAAAAAAAAAGAAAAAATCAATGAATATTATGAGATTTACACAAGGATTACAAAAAAACCCTTTTACTTTCAATTCATTCTCTACTTACAGATTTTATTATCATTATGTATTGTCAGTACATTAGGACGTCCAGAACCACCTCCACCATCACCATCACAACCATCAATTGAATATGGTTCACCATCTCCATCATCAGAACCACAAAAGGAATATGGTCCACCACCACAACCGCAACCACCAGCACCACAAAAATATTTACCACCGTCTGCACCTCAAATACGTCCAGTTTATGGACCACCAAGACCAATTTATGGTCCACCACCTGCTGAAAGATTGGTAACAAAAAATATTTATGTACATGTACCACCAGAAGAACCAGTTGAATGGGCACCAAGTCAACCAATTAGAATGCCAGTACCTAAAAAACATTATAAAATTATATTTATAAAAGCACCAGTACAACCAAGTCCAACAGTACCACAAATACCATTACAACAACAAGATGAACATAAAACATTAGTATATGTATTAGTTAAGAAACCAGAAGAACCACAACAAATTAATATACCAATACCAGAACCAACGGAACCAAGTAAACCAGAAGTATATTTTATTAGATATAAGAATGGAAATAAACCATCATCAGAATATGGGCCACCAAAAGGACCATATTAATAATACATACTTACATATAATTTAATGATTAAACGACATAAGAAATGAAATTAAAATTAGGATTGCGTGTAATTATAAAATAATGCTTTTTAAATATGTACATAATATATTAATAATTATATTTTAATTTAATATTGAAATTGAATTTAATTTTATATTTGTATATAATATAGTTAATTTTTTAAGTTATAAATTTTCAATCTAATTTGTATATATTTAATAAATATTAGAATAATTATTTAATTATTATGTTATAGGAAAAATATTTTGTGAAGCCAAATATGTATTTACATACAAACAAAATTGAAAATAAATTAAAATAAAAATATAAAAATAATTAGCAAGAATTATAATTTTTCTACTACTTTTTATCGAGATTTAACCAGTCAGGATCAAATATTGCTCATTTATTTTATTTTATTTTGATTAAAATCCATGTTTGGCCTCGAAGCACTATGTCGAAGAATCTAATTTATAATTTCTTATATACACAAATAAATTTTGGAACATTTCAACAGGAAAATAGTAGTTAGTGTGAAATTTAAATTGCGAAAACGCGAACGATAAACTGAATTAATAAAATTGATCTCATTATTTTCTAGAAGCTCATTGAAAATTTCAAAACCACACATAAATTTGATTTTCGAAAAAAAAAATATAAGCAGAAATTTTATAAAATGTAGCAAAAATGAAGTTATACAATATAATAGAGACAGAATTAAGATACAATACAATAATTTGGAATTTTAAAAAACAGCAAACTTATTTACTTATCATTGTAACACTAAAATTGAGTAATTCAATGGAACTAGTAGTAATAAAGTATACTGGTATAATAAGCAACTAAGCATACAAATGAATATTAAGCTCTAAAATATGGACACCCTATGATTTCTAATTTAAATATGTTCAACAAAATTGTTAATTGTTCAAAATTCTCAAACTTTGTTTCAGAAAACGTTTTTCACACTAAAACCTGCTAAAACTATTAAAAACAATTCTGACGGTCTGCTTAACAAAATTATTTCCATAAAATGCCTGGATCCACTAAAATGCCTGGATCCACTAAAATGCCTTCAAAAACCACTTTGAAAAAAAAACAATTTATCAAAATTTATTACAATTTTTCAATAAATTATGAATAAATGTTAAAAAAAAATTAATGTTAAAATTCAAAATAACTTAAGAACTTAATTTTAATTTTAATCCTTTGCTAACTATATAATAAAATAATGTAATGCGAGTAAAATATTTAAATTTATTATAAAAAAAATTGCATATATTTAGGCGAACACTTTTATTCTTCCCAACAAATCGTAACGCAAACGCATGTAATAATTGTATCTATGTATATTCATAGCTCTAGTCGCTGGATAATGTTAACCCAGTATGAATTTTAAATTGCTTATTATATTATGCAATTCGGTAATACATTGCAGTTACATGAACTTTATACAGTCATACTTGATTTAAACGAGTCATTCACTTAAACATAGAATACATAAAAGAAAATTATTGAAAAATTTATGCAATAATACATAAAAATAAATACAAAAATGCGTGCAAAATGCAAATACTTTAATTAATTCTTATTTTAAATTTCAAATTGATATTTTGTAGTCAATTCAATTTTGGGAAATGAAAAGAGTTAACAATGTTAAAATAGGTATTAAGATTCAGATCTATATACATATTATGAATTTGCATTAATTCAGATCTTGTAATATAGGTAATAAATAACTATTCCGATTCGAAATAATAACAAACAAGAGTTAGTTGCCTCTATATATACATCTTACGATAATTACGTAGATATCCAACAAAGCGAAAAGTGATTTTTAATAGATTTTACAAGTTTTGCTCTCACATTTTAAATTAGGACAATTTTCTATACTTAAGTAGTTTCTAAAAATATTTTATAATAATAAGAATTGATACATACTTAATAATTAGTTTCATAATTTACAACTTACCTGCATAAATATTTCAAAGAAAAGTTTACAATTTGGCACCTATCACCTACTTAAACGACTTGCCTTGTTTGACAAAATGTGCAATATGAAGTAATCCTTGAATGGGTAAGTAGGTACATAAAGTCATATATTTATGTAGTATATTTAAACACATTTTCCAAAATATCCCAGCGATTTTGCTTAAATAATTAAACATTTAATTGCAGGATTAACTTCTTCTACTTTCACAAGGTCGTTTATTACCCATTCATACTGCAAAGTATGTATACAGATATTGGTTATTTCTTACAATTTTTTTTAAAAAAGGGTCCAGAAATTATGTAATTGCACCTAGGTGGAACACTTAAATAATATTTACTTGTGTTCTAGTTCCACAATTATTAACTTTTCCTTTCTCTCGAAGTTATTATTCTTTAAAAGTTCAGAGTATGTCACCTGTTTAAAACATTGCATAATTGCTTAAACATGATTTGAATTAAAATGTAATTATAATATGTATGTGGGTACAGAAACATACCTTTTTGGTGAAGCTTGATGAATAAAATTTCCCTCCATAAAAGGAAATTAAAGTCAAATAATCGTTTTTATTCCAATAAAATTTTTAATATCACTTGAATACTAAATATTTAAAATTATTATTTTCATTAAAAGAGTGTTTTCAAATGCGTGCACCATCACTTTTTTTAATAAAACAAAAAAACTATTTAATTTATACAATTTTAAAACCAAAAAATTTTACTTTGTTGCTTTATAAATTTTATTCGATTTAAAGTACTGATATGTGTACATACATGTACATCTAGTTCTTGTTATATATACAGTGTTGCCGTTTGTAATTTTTTTTTTAAATTTCTCGACTACGCAATAAATTGACTGTACTTGACTTGAAATCAACTCGACACTCAAACTAAGTTTTTACTGTTACTGCGTTTATATGCAATTTGAAGTCAACTGTGAGCAGATTTCGTGCTCACAAAAATGATTTGAAATTTTTAAATCAAGTCGACCTGGTAAAATTATTAACTTGACTTAAAAAATGACTGCATGACGAAAGCGAGAGTTGAAAGATTGAAAATGACATATAAATGTATAATGAAAGCTCAAATCTGTATTATTTAAAACTGTACAATACGTACATCGAAATTTCAAGTCAAGTATATAACAAAGTTTATTCCAGCTTGAAAATAATTTTTAGCTATTACATTTCAAGTTTTTATTAGCATTCAAAGTCAAGTAAGCAAAATTTTTTGATTAACTTCAGTGAAGCCGGCTTTAAATCAATTAAAGTTTATGTGGACATAAAATTGATTCGAAAAACATTGAAGGTGCAAAAACTAATAAGTTTTTCTTCAATGATTGATATACGTTCCATACCATATGTCAATGGTATGTCAGTCATTAATGAGAAAGTGACCGTGTAAACATATATATTAATTATAATACAAAATTTTACGGTATATTAAAATTTTTTTTACATATACATCTAAAATATTTTTTATTTGCTTAAATACTTCATCAGCTGCATTTATTTGGTACATACGTTTTCTGCTACTTTAGCTTTAATTCTCGGCAAATTACTCTTTATTGCTATCAAACTTGAAAGATGTATTTTGATTCTGCGTTTTTATACCCTCAATTTTCAACCTGCAAGTTCCCACATGTACTCGCTGACAGACACTTAAACACTTCGAATGTGCATATGTACAAAATTTTTGCCTGTGAGATCATTTGGGACACTGAGATAAAATTCAAACTATAAAACAGATAGTATTTTATTTTTATGACTTTTAATAGGCAGCACTATTTACATTATGTGAAATAGGTATATAATATATGCAATATGATATAAATTACAAATTCAATCAGCATAATTATTAAATATCCGAAAACAAAAGTGTTGTGATATGTGTCACATACATATTATAAATTTAACTTGTGAAGACGTGAAGCTAAAAATGTTACGCGCTTGAAAATCAATTCTTTTATTATTTTTTATAAAATTGCTTCTACCTATTAGTATTCAAGGCAAATTTATAAATTTTTTCTTCCTGAAAAATCAAAAGTGCGTTTCATTGCAAATTTTTGTTAATTGTTTTCGGTAAAGAAAATAATTTACATAATGTGAATTTTGTGTGAAAATAAAAGTTAAATATTTATACTAAATGAGCAATAAGTAAAATTATAATTTTCACATATTTGCAGTATAAAAGTTTTATATGTGTACATAGTATCTGAATTCGTATGAGTGTTCACAATATTTATTATAAATTAAATTTTTGACAGTTGCGCGAACGTATACTTCTTCAATATCCGACGTATACTTCCTCCATTTACGCATTTTATTGTAAAGTATGAGAAATTGTATGTTTATGTATAATGTAAGCAAATTGCACTTAAATTAAATAAATATAATTAAATAAAATAAAATAAAATTTTATTTAATTTTATAATTATGCCATTTATTATTATACATATTAAACGTTCAAAACTTCGTTGTAGAGATACACATATCTGGCATAATTTTCACACATATCTGTTACAATATTGCCATATTCACAAATTTCTTATAAATTATTATAGTATAACAGTATTTTGATTGATATTATAAACAAAAAATTTAATTAAAGAATGCCTAAATTTTTCTTTATTCTTATGTGATTTAATATCAAATTGAGTACTGTAGTGCATACACACATATGTATATACATATTTATGTAAATTTATTCAAATCACGAATAAATTGAAAGTGAAATTTTTTATTTTTTGTTTATTCAGAATTTTTAGCACAATATGTATTGAAACGTTAATCTTTATTCGTAAATGCATATATATATAAATATTTATTAAATGCATAATAATAATGTATAAGCACATATTTATTGTTTGCATATATATTATAGTATAATAGTTTTTTTAAAATTGTTTCTATAAAAAGAAAATTGATGTATAATTTTTGAATTGAACAATAATTTTCTGTTAGAATCTAAAAATGCAAAAATTATTAGTGTATACTAATTTTTACCAAATTTTTGCTTGATTAAATGAAATAAATAATATTTTCTGTGGGTTTAATTCGCGGAGTTAATTTTGTTTAATTTATATTTTGACATTTCACCGCGAAAAATTGCTCTTGTTCTGTTTTCATCTTTCAAAATCAATATCAGCAGCAAATAATTTATGTCAAACAAAATTGGTTTTAAAAAGAAGCTTTTGAGTTTTAGATGAAATGCGATAGAAATTAGAATAGCTATTTGCAACGTTACTGAAAATTCAAGGATTTACAAAGTTATGGTTCGAATTATTCATAATATTCAAACTCCCAATTTTTTTTGTATAAATTATTCACGCTTTGTTTAAAATGTTTCTTATAATTTTTATTAATATTAATTATTTCTTTAATAATTTTGAATATTTTACATTAATATCGAACTTATAAGAAAAAAAAAAATTTTATTTTTGATTAATTTAGTCGATCTCAAAAATTCAATTGTTTAAAATTTTATTAAAAACAACTCACCACTGATAAAAACAACATTCAATATTGAACGTTCAATTCTCTTCATTGTTCAATAAATTGAAAGAGTATGCGTCGCTGACTATAATGTCATATTTCAATTCGTATAATTTTTGTTGTTGTTTTTCATCTTTTATATTGTGTCAGTCAATCAGCTGTGTTGATTTTGTTCATTGTTGTTTTTGGTTTTCATTCTGATAACTACATTTGAAGTATATAAGGTGGTGATTTTGTTTTTGTTTTGATCTTGGAATTAAAATTTATTCTCGTTTGGTTTAAAAATAAACTTTTGTGGTGGTCTGCAGTTGCTTCATTTGTTCGTTTGTGTTGTAGAAAAAGAAAAATTGTAGAAAAAAATTAAACTTTTAAGTAAATTAAAAATTTAATAATTTTCAGTACGAATTATCACTTTAAGCTTGTTAAATGTAAAAGTACAACTCACGCGGCTTATATTTTTTTCTCGTTTTAATTAAAATTGAAAATAATTTTTTCATAACGCGGGTTAACAAATTGAATACATCAGTATTTCAGTTAGTGTTTTTGTGTATGTTTTGCTCTAATAAATTTTTTTTTTTTTGATTGTTGTCAGTGACAAAATTTTAATTAGATTTTTTTTTTTGATTTTTTAATCAAAACTAAAAGGAATGCAAAACTATTAAATGATTAGCTAATTTGTACTTTTTGTTTTTAATTTAATTAAAAAATTGCTTGGTGATAATCTACTTAATTCAAGTTCAAAGCATAATAATTATATATAGACGTCGAATACTGAATATACATACATAAGTATAACATTTCTAATCATTATTATTTATAATAATTTTGGACCCCCCAGCTAAGGTCATCTAAGAATTTTTAAAGTACATGGGTACTAGTTAATGCTAAGGAATTGTTCTATACAAAAAAAAAATTTTAAAAAATTTGCGTATAGTTACGAATATACTTAATTTTCTACACCGTGTTAAATTTTGGATATTTGGAATTGAAGATTTGAGAATATAAGCGTTAAATACAAGGTAATATTATATATTTTAACTAAATGTGAATTAATATTGTGTAAGTAATAAAATTTAATCAAATATTATTGTAGATACCTAATTTGATACGAAATATGCACTAACCATTATTTAATACAATTATTTTTAGGGTCTTACTGCGAAGAATTATAGTTAATCCTGTCTAATAAGAATTGAATTAAGAATTTGTGGAAGGAAAACAATGTTAACAATAAAGTACTTAACGTATCTACCTATAAGTAGATTTAATGCGAGACGTTTATTAATGTAGGTACTTATTTCGGAAAAAGAAATGGAAACATAAAATTTTGTTCCAGTATTTATTTTAGAGATTCGAAACCTATTTGCTATCTTATACATGTTTACATCTTTTAATAATATTTAGCACATAAGTTATACAACCCATTCCAATTAGAAAGAACATAACCTAGTTTGTTATACATTAGAAACAAATGTGGCAGAATATTTCCGAAAATTAATTTTTGCCTTAATCTTAATAAAAATATAATCATTTCAATCAATATTTATTTAAATAACTAAGTTCACTGAATTTGTATTTAAAAGCTGTTCGGGTACAAAATTTTAGTTTCATGTTGCACTGAATAATTTAGTAATAAGTAAGTAATTGATTTTCATTTTATGATTCTATAGTTTATGTTTAAGTTTTTCAATTAAGTATTCTAATTGAAATATTTGCAAACAAGTTAAATAAAGAATTCAAGTAATACTAAAGACCCAAAGTATACATATGTATGAAGAAACCTACTTACTTATCTAGTTATAAAATTAATTTTTGAATAATACTACAATTCAATGAGTATTTATGCTATAAAATTCCCAAATGTTTATCGAAGTTAAGCCTAAGTATTTCATTTTTTGTTTTATTACTATTAAAGCGCAGCCATTTTTCTAAAATTTTAGTTTTCTAGTTACATAAAAATAATTATTTGAACAACTAGCAGCATTCACAAAATTTCTTGTTTTGTAATGTTTACCATTACTTATTTAACAATTTCAACTTTCATTAGCTTATCAGCTATAATTTATCATATATTAAAAAAATACCATGAATACGTGTACAGAAGTAATCCAATTTTGGAATTTTTTCCAACATTTACAGTGTAAATATTTAATAAAATTGTTAACTTACTATTAAAATAAATTGTTAAATTACTTTCGTTTAACTTTAAAATTTATAAATTAAGTAGATATTACCATTTTTCTTTAACATTTCCAAAAAAAAAAACAACAAAGGAAACATGTTTTTTATGTCATGTATATCTGCTGTAATTGTACCCAAAAATATGCGGTTCATTAAAAAAAAATTTATTTAAACTTGAAATTTATAAAAATAATTGTAATATGAACATACTTAAATATTTTATGACTGTATTCTGAAGATGTACGAATTGAAATATGCATAATTACTGGTATAAATGATTATTTATGTGGTAAAATAATTATATTATTTCTTAAAATAATGCTAATGAAAGCAATACTAATAGAAATGCGCAATTTTTTATGTATTAGACTTACATGCATAAGCTGTAGTTACAACAATTAAATTAAAATTGATTGCTAATAAGAACTGGAATGGCAGAACTTAATATTATTGAATTCTGAGATCTATACGAAGAACTAAGAGCTGGTTGTTAAGGTTCAAATTGACTCAAAACAGGAAATATTCTTTTGATACAAAAAGTGATTGATATTAAAATTTAATGTTAAAAACAAATTTTATTTCATGCAAAAAAGACGTGACATTATTCTTAAAAAGTAATTGTTGCATATTTTTATTCAACACGTCAGTGCGACTAATAGAATATTGGCGATTATCAAATTTTACAAAAAAAAAAAACAACCATTATTTGAGTTTTTTGGAAGTCGAAAATGTGTTCACTTACTACTCTGAAACATGTTTGTTTAACATGTGTGGTCAGAAATCTTATTTGTTATTTTACTTATTTGTTTTACAATTACAAACACTTACATTTTAAGTACCTTTTAAAAGAAATGCATTTTAAAATCACGTTTTTGGAAATTTTTTTTTTGTTATACATTACTAAAGTACTTAGTAAGTAAATGTTCTGCCAATAATTAAAATTTAAATGCCAGTAAAAACTAAAACTATATTTTAGAACAAATTTAATTAGGTACTAAGTATTTATAAATTTAAACTTAAATTCTTGTAGATTGCAAAACTATATTTAAAATTTCTTGTATAAGCCACAAAAATTTATATTTGTTTTTTGAATTTATGATCTAGTCTAGGCCCTATTGTAGATTATAGATTTTAATGCAGTTCTATTGAAATCTACAATACTTATTGGCCCTATTGCACAAACGTATTTTACTTTTGCTTTTACTTCGATTTTTGGTACAATAGAAATTTTTCAATAGTGGTTGATGTAATAGGGCCCTGTTAGAAATAATTTTGTCATACAGTACATAAATTGCAAAATACATAGTTATCGAATTATTATTAATTTTTATTATAATTTTAGATTGATCTGGATTTTCGTGAGCTTTGAATATGTGTGTGTGCATAACGAATATTTTAAAGAAAAGCAAGAAATACGTAAATAATTATATGACCTAGAGTTGAATAAAACCAAAAAAGTAACATCATTGAAAATGTCAATATACTCAAATTACAATTATACCTGTGCAATAATCTACAAAAAAAAAACAAAAAAAAAATTAAAAAATAATGAAAGCAAAAGTATTTTCAAAATTCACTCATTATACAAGAAAGAAAAAAAAAAGGTCTCGAATATTTCGCCCGTAGTTTTGATTTCGCGCTATGCATTTTATATACTTACATACATACATACATTTTTATAATTTTTTATTTGCAATACGTCAATTGCGTAATAAAATATTCCGGTTTCTGACTGACTTTTTTTTACCAATATATATATATATTTTTTGTGCCTGTTGTATTACTTACCTTCGCAATACCATTAATATACTACTTCTGAATGTACACGCGTTCATTGTATGTGCGATTGCATTATTTTATGCTATAACAACATAAACATTTAAATATACTTATGTATTTTATGATTTAGACATTGTTTCGGTTTAGAGTTTGCCAGCAAAGCTTTTAAAAATACATAAATGAAACTTGATACTTATGTACATTATATTATGAGGTGAGCATACACTTACGCGCGTGTAACTATATTAAAATGCAGGCTTTAGCGATCTATAAGTAATTATGTTTAAATACAAAACTGATTTTAAATTGATACTTAAATAATTTTTTAAGTAAACTTGAATTGCATTGCATTTAAATAGGAAAAAAAAAACAAAATTGGACATTTTATTTATTTAAGTTATTTTTTAACAGTTAATCGTTTGAATTAAAAAAAAAAAATAAAGCAAGAAAATAAAATTATAATTCGTTCTAGAGTTGAAAATATTGTCTGGCCGTCTATTTAAAAAAATATTTAATGAAGATTTTTGATGAATTGCTTAGGTCTTTTTAAGTTTTTAATCTGTATCTAAGCTTAGTTTAATTTTAATTTTGATATAATTATGTTATAAAATGGATTTACAAACTGTGGGTTGCAAGTCAACTATGATTCGCTAATGTGATCATGGTTCACCTGCAACTTTGTCGATATTGTGGTAGGTTTGATAAAAGACATGATAATAACTCAACTTTTTTATGTTTGCTGGGTGTAGTTTTAGAATCAGAATTGAAATTTAGGAATTATTGCTTATCTTTGTAGAAATTATATGTAATTCAATTTCTATTTTTGAAGAGTACAACTTAATGATATTATTCTAATGTTCGTATACTGCCATTACCTTGACTATTAACCATCCCTAATGGTAGTTCAAATAAGAGAGTCTCTTCGTTTTTGCAGTTTTGGTTTATCTCTTTGTTTTGGTAGTTTTGGTTCGGTTGAAAACTGATCGTTGATCTGTAATAGACTGAGAAATAATGGGATGATTAAATAATTGAAAAATGAGCTTCTTACAAATCTCTGTCCATTAAACTTACTTAATATTTTTTTTATCTTATTTAAACTGATCTCATACGATATTACATACACAAAACACATGATACTAAAACGTGCATGTTAACAACATATTTATAATTATACATATTTGGTATAGGTTCGGTGCAATATTTTAAAGATTTGATCATTATCAGATTTTAATTTATTCGAACTTTCACTTTTTTCCTTTTTTTTTTAACATTTTTTACTTTTATATCATTTGTTTGCTTTTACTTTTGTTACTAACATTGTAATTCTTGTTATATTTCTTGTTTATTTTGTAATTTTGGATTACTCTGGATTTCCACTTATAGTTGATGTTTAAGTGCTTATTACAACTTGTATTAATGTGTTATACATGAGTCAATCATTTGTGTATATAAGTACTTAGTTTTGATTGTGACAAAAAAAAAAAAATTGTGATCTAAAATTGTGATTGATTCATGATTTTTTTTCATTTTTAATAGAATCATTTAAAATTATACTTACTCTTTGTATCAAATTATTATGAAAGCACAAAAAGTATAACAAAAAATTGTAACAATTCAGTTGCCAATTGAACTTAACGAACCCAAGTTTTCTTTTTTCAATTATAAATTTCATGTTGAAGTTTTTATATATTAAAAAACTTAAAAAAAAAAACGACATAGTGTGTAACGACATATGTGAGTAAGCAAATAAGTATTATAAATAATAGTAAATGAAATTTTGTGTATTTACATGCGTGTAGAGCTTTGTATGCAAGATCAATGAACTTTCGTCAATTAATTGCCCCATAACGTATATGAATAAATTTATTTTTAAGAATGTGATAATGATCAAACACATAACATGCATGTTTAAATATTTTGAAATAATTTTACATTATTTAATTAAAATTAATTTATTAAATTTTAAATTTTTGATTATACAATTAAATTTAGAAAGATTTTTGTTTTATAGAACCATAAATAATAACTAACCTTATAATATTAACAAATTATGTAATAG